CAAAAATTTGGACGCTTTCTACCTGTGGAACAGGTGGCCGCGTGTGTTCCGCCTCGAATCTTATCGGTGCTCGTAGAAAACCGGGCGGAAGGCGACCCGGTAACCCAGTTTCTCGTCGTGCTACGAAAAATCGTTTCTTCGTACACATTCCTTCTCTTCATCGTCCACCCGTGTTCCTCTTCAATTTTTCTCTCTCCGCGTCGTTGCTCCTCGAGCTGAATGCAAACGCGCCTCTAACATCTCACCGATTCTCTCATCTGCTTTCACTTCGAATCGGCGACGATTCTTCTTTCGAATTTCGTGCCGACAAATTGTTGAACCATACATCAATATAATCGGAGAAAGTTACATTTTTGGAAACTTGCCCCTCTACGCCTCCTTTTGACTCGAACTTGTGCTCTTTCTTCTCCATTTTCGTCCGATCGATCGTGCTTCTGCATCTCTTCCGTGTTTTAATTTTTAATCGGTGATCGAAAATTAAAGATTAATATTTGATCTTTAATCGCGCTAGAAATTTGTCGTTCGAATATACTGTTATACTTTTACGTGTTGTTTTATAAGTGGTTAATGCTAAGCCGATATCGATACATCCATTTCAATTTCCGGAAACGTTTCTCTATTTAATCAATATTCTATTTGTTACCAAACACCGGCCTCTTGATTTTATTGCCTCGAGAGTAGGTCTTAACATTCGACTTTCTAATCATGAAAGGTATTTGATTTTCACGAAAACGAAGTCTAAAATGTCTAAAATAATTTCATTCTTAATTTCCGACATACTTTTACACCCTCCCCTATTCATTATCACAAATATCTTATAAATCTATACATATATATAAAATTAGAAGAAATTTGTCTGATATAATATTGAGATAAACTACTTAACGAAAATACCATTGATCTAAAGTTAGTTTTATTATTTAAAAACCAACATTCCTAAAATCTCGCAATTTCTTTTATCTTTATTATGCAGTTATAACGAATATCTGATAAATTAATATTTTAACAGTTTCGTCAAATAAATTTTAATAAAAATTTATTTACATGTATATATATATTGTTTTTCAGATATTCCAAATAAATTTATTTTAAATAGTTTCAACTTATTTGTTAATTAATTTGTCAAAAAAAAAAATGCATAACCATGAGTCTTTGCGTTTTAAAACCATTTATTCGATTTTGGATCCTCCAAAATTATTAATAGTTCTGAATATTTTTATTCTCTTTCACCTTACTTTAAATTGTTTCAAAGTTTTCGAGATTAAATAATATTCCTTAACCCAGCAAATTAAATTCATCACGACAAATTCATGATAGATCGAAACAAAATTTAGGAGAAATATCCAAGGATTAAAGAAACGTCAAAATCAGCTCGTTCTCGTTCGCCACACCGCGTTCTTCCGTCTTACGTGGCGAAACATGTTTTTAACGGACGACTGACCCATATAACGAATAATCGAATAAATTTCGCGGACGAAGATAAAGAAAAGAAGGGAAAAAAGAAAGAAAAAAAGAAAGACGGAAGATATACTGTACGTTATACGTGGACTCCGTATTACAAGTACGTGCACAGAGGGGACGTTGGTATTGGGCACCTGTTACGGTGGAAGGAATACCGTTAGGAAGTCGTGTCAGCGGCAGGTACCGGCCTACAGGTACACGCATACATCTTACCAGGGCTCTCTGTCGCAAAAATCAAGCCGCTTCGACACCAGGACCCGATGTCGAGACGCTGTGCTGCTATTCGAATCGCTACACGGTTTCAGATGGCGTGTACCTGTTCCGCTAATTCGATGTCTGTCATCCGATTAGAATTATCCGTTGCGTATCTGCGTGATGTATTGCCAACTTGTGTATTGGGGAAGGATTAAGGACGATAATTATTGCATATAAAAAATAAGAAATTTCTTTTTATATAATTATAATTATATAAATGATAGGATGTATTGCTGTTACGTAATACATGTATCAGGGGTGAGATTAATTAATTGAAACTGTGGACGATGATGCATGATTCAATCGCATATTTCGTTAGATAAATCATTTTATTTTTTTAAGCGAATATAAAAAATGAAAAGGAAATTGGAGAATCATAAATGATATATCATCGATAATATTTATGATAATAAATTACCATGTATAATAGGAAAAAGTTATATAAGAAAAAGTATAGAGAATGTGGAATTACGGACTAATGATATATTTTAGTTTTATTTTTTAAGGTATATATGGATATAATTATTAGAAAATGCGAGAAAATAAGGGTATCGTAATAACAAAATATATTATTTAAGAATGTATTTTATATAAATGAAATATCTTTCTTTTATTTATCGATTCATTGTAATTCGATGTATAATATTATATATTATAATAATATTATAATATTACTATAATTAAAAAAGATTAGATGTTTCAAATGAACGAAGTAAAAAAAACTTGAACTTATAATTCATGATTCAAATTATTAAGCAAGGAAGTTTTTAATGTTTATTATTTAAAATGAGTCTTTACCGATTATTTACGACTCGAAACGAGTTTTTAATCTAATGAATTAGATTGTTTTGGATTTTTTTTTTTTGGTTAAAGATTAGAATCTAGCTCATGCGCAGAGAGAATATCTAGATTTTTTAGTAAAGTCACATTGAACAAATTCCTAATTAGTTCCTAATTTTTTAAAATTCATATTTTTTTAAGATTTGACGTCGGTATAATATTACTATGTTTCTTAATTTAAATTAGATAAATAATCGATTCGATGAATTTTATTTGAATCGATGAATATCGAATTATTGTGAAATATTCTCAAATCTGGTTAAATCTGGTGAAAATTCTAATTTCAAAATACGTTCTTCCTTTCCAGTTTACATTAGTTATCCACAGTTTAAAATATTCGTTCTTCCTGTCTAATTTGTTTTTGTATTAGTTATCTACAACTTGAATAAGATAAATTTAAATATTACGATTGAGAATATGTCCAAGAATCGAATAACTGTTTTTTCGTTCAAGACAAATCGTGAATGAAACTAATTTGACTGATTTACAACTTCGATACGAAATAATTACACGATTTTTCACGTGGTTATGCGATGTTTTCTAAATGTGCCACTGACCGACTAAAGCAACTTATCACCGATCTTACTTTTTATGGGGACTCGCTATTAATCTTTCTTGGATTTTCGGCTCCATTTAATCTTCTTACTATAGCGTATAGTGTCCATTATACAACGACCTTAATAAATGTCTATATACATGCTACATCGTGTATTTTAAATTGTACTTGAAATGTACAACAACATAAATTATACTCGAACAAATTTTCCTCGAATAATTAATAAAAGCGAATATCGAAGGATAAGATTAAAGATGCATTACCGTTCTGATGGAAAAAAACGAATATGAAAATAGAGTGTTGATTTACCAACAATGGGCCATAATACCTATCTTTTCCTCTATCATTGGTGTTTTACTGGCCATATAGGAACCCGTTTCGCAACAGGTGTCTCGAGGACATGGCTCGATCACGATTTCCACGTTCGTATCTCCATATAAGCGGCGCTTCTGGCTTGTTCGCGATCTGGCACACTTTGCTCACGATCCGTGGCTCTCTGTATCGCCTCTCGCGCGTTGATGCATCGCGTGAAACTATCCCGTGCTCGCAAGATTCCGGCCGCTGATTAAGACGATTAATTTATCGTCGGCCACATTCGGTAGCCGCTTTATTCTTGATATGTTACTTCGAAGATACTTCTGGCACAAGCTTTAGCTGAATGATAGAGTCGAACGAAAAGCGATAAATATGTTTTATAGATTCTTTTTATTTTTTGTTTTTTCCTTTTTTAAATGTCGCGTGGGAAATGTCTTTTCATCGCAATGTATTTGCAAACTTTCGTGCCAATAATCTTAAAGTTTTTTTTTTAAATTGTAAATGTATATTTTAATTCTAATTAAAAAAAGGCAAAGGTGTCAGAAATCTCGAATTTTAGATATTATGTGCTATTTGTGATGAAAAAAGTTATCTAAAATTTTGAATTGATTAAATTTTTGAGAAATTTTAATCGATCATAATTTTTCATGAATGAAGGAATAAAATGCCAACATAAATAGAAACTGTACAAATGTCAGCTATTTATTTATTTCACTATTCGTACCAATTCGACTCCCTTCCATCATCGAGTAACGAACCACTTTCTCGTTTAATCCATTACCAATAGGAGAACGATCGAGAAAAATGAATCAAAACGATACACGAGAACGGTGCAACGATCTCTTCTCAGAAGCCAAGGATCGTCGATGATATTCAGAGGAACCTCGGGCACTTTGCCTTTTAACTTTTACCCATTGCAGCATTCCACGAGATTACGCAAAACGACAACTCTCGAAAGGCTGATTTCCATGAGGAGCCTTCCATTCTCCTCGTGTCCCCTTGCTATTAACCGTCATCGCGATATCCCGCTGACGACGATGATAACGACGACGATTGACGAGTATACGTCATACCGAGAGTATACTCGATGAATTGGCATGGAAATTGACCTCGTGGAAGGTCAACAAAATGGGAATAAAGTTCCGCATTCTCGGCCCACAGCCCGAGGCAACTGTTAGCCTCACTCCTCTTTCGGCCTCTTCCGCCTTCCTCCTGCCTTTTCCATCTTCCAACCTTTCCGATCTTCCGCAAAACAACCGAGAAAAAGACATATCGATCTTCTCCTCGAACTTTCTTCATCTTTCGTGCAAAAGAAAGAGCCACCACGATCCTCTTTTTCCTCTCTCCTCTTCTTTTTTACAACGAGTTTACGACGACGGAGGTATTTGTATGCAAAAGAAAAATATATTTATCTCTTACTTTTTGATTTCGCGTATCACAATAATTTTGGATTTTTGTTGTTTGTTTGCAGGATAATCGAAATAATTTGAGATAAGAGATTTTCATTTTAATAATTAATTCTAATTAGTTGATGGAAGAAATTAAAATTAGGTATAATTAAATGTGAAACGAACCATTTCAAAATCATTCCATTCCTATTGAAACTTAATAAATAATAAAAAAATTTACGTCAGAACATACGTTCGATTATTGATAAATAATTACCGATAAATATCTCTTCTCCACGGTTCGAGTAGCTCTCTAAAACGATTCGTGGTTTGTTTCAGACGATGATTGGGGAGCGCCAGCAGAAGAGAATGATTATTTACCGGAAACAGAAACGACTGGAACGAGTCTAACGTTGCCAAGATTAGCCAGAAGCCCCGAAAGATTGAGCAGCCAGGTGAACAGAGGTGTTTCGCCGAGTTGCAATCGAAGTCGCAGGGCACCGGAGTTCAGACAACGGTCGCCTAGCCCTCAGTATCAGCCTAGAATCAATCCTTGCGAGGTGTCCAGTCCCAGAGAGAGATTCCAAGATGCCAAGGAGATGTTCCGAGCCATGGAGAGAGAGGCCATTGCAAGGCCTGTTCTTTCTCGACAGAGAGATGTGGAAAGTCATCCTGTTCACAGGTACGGTTTTAAATGTTTCTGCAACGTATTGATTTTCTTTTCGCATTCCCATTAAATTTATTATACTATAAAATTGTACACAAAGCTGTAATTTCACCGCGTATAAACCTACTTACCAAATTTAAATCTTGGTTAAGGATATGTATATATAGATAATTTATTTCAATTTATCCATTTAGAGATATTTAATTTGTTTATATAAATAAAAATATAAATGGAGCGAGTGCTGGGAAATTAGTTTATTTTCGTCTTAGAAAATAATTCTAAAAAAAAATTTACGATGTTATTTCGTAATGCAATAAGAAAATAATACTTGAAATAACGTGGTTTGAAAAGTATCGTGTACCTCGTGCGAAAATATATGAAATAAAATAATTTGAAAATTGCTCGAGTCTCCGATGCAAGTGCCAGAAAATGGCACTCGATGTCTCTCTCTCCTTGAAAACAATCCGGTTAGAAAGCCTTGAAATTGAAAAGAACCCGATATATCATCGATAAAAAGTAAAAAGTCAAGGTATGCGCGGAGTGGATCGAAAACAGCTTTCAGTACCACAACCGTCATTATGGTAAGCGTCGATCTTAACAAGTTCTGGGTATTCGTTTTCTAATCCAGAGAATCTGCACCGATCCCATTGTAAGAGAGGACCGTTCCCTGCCGCTTCTCATTTTCTCTCGAGCCGACCAGAAAGACTAGTTTTAAAAGGCCACGCGGTTGCCTTTGCTTTTTCCCTGGCTGACATTCGTTTTGGGCCAGCAATCACCGGTGTCGATCTCGAGTAAAAGCTGTCCAACCAGCTGGAGGAACGGTCTCGAACCACGAAATACTCGAAAAGTCGACGTAGTTATTTCGTGGATACACGGTTCCATTGATGCCAATCGACAGCTTCTCTCGTTCAGAACACGAGGTCGACATCTCAATGCCTTTGCTCCACTTGATTTCTATGAAAAATTGTCTTGTTACTCTGAACCTGTTTAAAATTCTATTCTTAAAGATTATGGTAGAACGTTCGAACAAGTTGATGAACGTTCCTGTCGATTTATTTTGCGAGAAGCAGCTGTCAGAACTGGTACGTGGCAAGTGGAACAAATTCGGAAGTGGCACGTGGTACTTTTCCAACCTCTTTCAAATTTGTCTGCAAATTTGCAGAAAATCTTTTCTTTAATTTCACATTTATTAATTTTCATTCGACGTTCAACGCCTGAAATCAACGAAATATGAAACACAGAAAAATTAAAAAATTAGGAAACTTCCTCATTAAGAAATTTGAAAAAAAAAGTTTTCTTATTTAAAAAATTTCCAAAAAATTTCCTTGTTACCATTTTTAATTTCAGCATTTATGTATATAAAAAAATCAGCAATTAGATTATATTTCTTTCTATTTTTCTATCTTCTATACACGATCCCCTGCATTTCTAGGATTAAAATTCCCGTTAACTCGATTTTGATCAACATCGATACTAATTTATCGTGAATTTCTTTGTACCAACAGGGTTGAGTCAGGCAGACAGAGCCACGAGGAACAACCGAGTCGTCAACATCCGGCGAGCAACAGTTCAACAACTGGCCACGAACATTTGATCAGACGGAATCATTCGGAGGTATCGGAACGGGAGAATGATGTTTCTTACAGAGCTCGACCGCGGCCACGAACCCATCATTATGCGATGGAACGACCAGCGGAGCAAGAGGTCTCGAGGCCTCGGCCGAGAAGCTTCTACGAAAATCCAACGGTTGGAAGAGACTTCCGAGAGCAAAGAAACGTCGCTGATCCGAGAGAAGTAATGACCATTGATTCCACGATTTCTCTTTCCGATCATCGTCACATTCTGTTCCTTCACATTTCTGCCTTCAAATCCTACAATGTAGTCGAGAAATTAGGTTTAACTCTCAAAGTATTTTTTAAAAGATATTTTACCGATATTTGATAGATATTTGATCATCTAATTTTTAGAGATCGATTATCGTAATTACGTCATTTTGATTATTTCTTGCTCCAAGATTTTCAATTCTGGCAAGGTTGAAGAAATTTTTCCTCGAATTAAGTTTGGGAGATTTAACTTCCTATTACATTAATTTCGTTATTTAAATTTCAAATTTACGAATCTACTTCAACATCTTCAGTTTTACGAAGATTCCGAGTATTAGTTAATTGACATCTTTGGGTTTCCACTTTCTAAAAGATAGATTTTGTAAGAAATTACTAATAGCTTCTCAACGTTCGATGACGAAAAGTGGATGGATTTTCACTTTTGCTGGTATCTTGTTTGCTCGTGAATCTGTTCCTTTCAGGATGGCAATATAAACAAGCAAATATAAACGTAACTAACCATTCGCAAATAATGTGTAACTGTAACAGTTACTTAAAATTATTCGATTGAAGGATTTTCTACTTTACATATATAATACATATGCTTCAGCCTTATTTTGTATCGATTCTTATAGAATTCTGATATCAAACTTCAATATTATGAATTTTATATTTCATGATACTTCATTTTAATCTTTCAATCATCTATTTTATAATCTAATCACAAGTATATTGCTTTTCTAATATTATCTTCAAATTCTTTACAAATATCTATTGAATTATATGACCGCATTATAAATTAATCTATTCATTTCTTCTTTTTATTTTTACATCTTTATGTTAAATTCATATCACCTTACATGCTTTTACCAATATATATGATTAAACCAGTAATATATATATATAATTTCTTCAATCGAAGAATTTATCTTCTATTAAATTATTAATATCCTTATTTTTCTTTTTTGCCCACAGGTTCGAGATTTCCGTGACCGCGCGCACATGAAGGAAATACGCGAGAAAGTACGCGCCAGGGCAACCACGTACCAAGAACTCTCTGAACACGAGAGATATCCAGGTTTAGACCGTGACAGCGCGAGACCACCCTTGGAAATCGTGCCCACCCCGGGTCGATATCGACACAGCTACGCAGAACCCCCCAGACTTGGTTTGGCGGCTCTCCATCCGTACTGAGTCGATTGACTCGTTGTTAACTAATAAATTATTTAATTAATCCGACCGTATCGTTATCGTACCATTCTCTAAATGGCTGTCTAGCGTCCTCGACGATATTTTATGCGTCGAATAATTAAGGGGAGCAAATGAAAATCTGAAAAAGACGAATTTTACAAAATCTATTTTACAAATTATGCTTTGTTCGTTATGGAAATTCAATTGCTAAGTAAGAGCAAACTTAGATCTAGATATTGATATTATTACAAGTGTATACAAACGTCATTTATAAATCATATAATTTTTTCACATTCTTTAATTTAATCGAAGTTCAAGTATCTTCATCTTCATCGTTACATTCTTCGATATTATCTGAACACTTTTTCAATTCAATCGTTGCTGTGATAATTTTCACTGCTACATTGTAATTCTTTCGAAAATAAGTTGACGTATCGAAATAGAAAATGAAATAAATTTCATTACAAGAGATATTAATAATTTTGAAGCTTTTGTCTCTTTGTCATTATATAGGGTTTCATTTGCCCCGCTTTTATAAATTCTAAATTTTAAAAGGATTTTTTCGAGCAGTCAAAGACGATGATTTTTGTATTCGTCGTTTCATAGATCTCGATTATCCAAGCTGTGGGTCTTTCGTTGATCTCTGATCCTAACTTATATGCACTATATTGATATCCACGCTGGATGCCAGATTAACGATAATGATAGGAACAAGTAACAAGCACAGTAATATTGACAATAACAGAAATAATAATAACTTTAATAACAATAAAGATTGGCATTATTTTTCTTTATCCTCTTTATGGATCCTTTAGTTTAAAGTCTCCAATTAAGGAATTAGTTGAGGTAATATTTTAAAATAAATATTTATTAATCTAATGACGTTTTAGATGCAATATTTTTATTTTATATAAAAATAATTAAATAGATTTTATTTTCAGATGAGATAGTATTTTATAACAAATATTTATTGATAATATTCAATTTCTGAATTACATCATTATTCGTATAAATTAATTTATGAATTCTATTTAAAAAACAATTGAAGCAATATTTTAAGATAAACATTTATTATGCTACCAATGTTTTAGATGCAGTTTAATAGCAGTTTCTATTTTTATTGTTCAAACAAAAATAAATATTTGAAGATAATTATAAAGAATGGTGAGGAGAAAGATTTATTTAATAATTCATGACGCATCATTTGGGAAAAAAGTTTCCAAATATATACATATATTCAAATAAATCTTGAAAGACCATGAAATAAATATTTCATGGAGACAGAATCCATTTCTTGATGTGCACGATAACACTCGAATTGCACTCGGATTCTCGTTTTCCTTTGTGTCTCTATTGTCTTTTGTTACGCCTCCTTCTTCCAATAGCTACATAATTGCCACGAATTATCTTAGCGCAATACTTTTCTATCTAATATACCGTTATAATTTTTTCTTATCGTTTGAATTAGAAAGTATTTCCTGTTGTTTTAATTTTAGAGAAGGTTATTGAAGAAGGTTATTGATCCTGGTTAATACTTTTCTCGCGAAACAATTTACTCTATGATGCAACAAATTATGAAAATTTTTAACTTGAGAAAATATGGATATAATTTTTTTCTCTTACATTTCGATTATTATATATTTCCATTTTTAACTTCCACTTTTAATTATTTTATTCATTATTTCTTTGATCTTTATTTTTGCTTTAAAACAACAAAGCTACTTTAAAGAAAATTAGAAATTTATTTTTTTTTATTTATCAATATTAATATTAAATTGATCATTAATCAATTCCTCGTTTTTCCAAAATTCAATTATGAGTTATAATTTAAAAATACTTTTATTAAATAAAAAAAAATAATATAAATCTAAAAGTATTTAATTAATTTACACAATTCTTAAAATTAAAATAAAAGTTTCACGAATTCGTTTTTCCTCCTCAAGTTTGAATAATATTCAGTTTTCATTGTTCTTCCCCTTAAACTGCATTTAGTTCTAAAAGTAAAATACAATATTTCGAAATATGAAAAATATGCAACTTTATTAATTTTTGACATTAGCTCACATTCTCTTTCTGCAACTTGTATTCACATCGATTCATTAGCATTTTTGAGACGAAAATTTCTTTGATAACCGACTGGTGGCATGGCATACGTCCACTGAATCACGTACAGTGGCTCGTTAAATTACTTTCATGGTTAACGGAGCAGGAAGTGGCCGGTTTGCATTGTTTCAGTATCTATAGTTGTTGCACGAATAATAAATGAATAGAAAGTCTTTCATGCTAGGGAGACGAATAAATCTTGGGTCAGTTGCGTTTTTCTTTCGATTTCAGGTGCCTGAATTTCCTCTTGAAACTCGGTTTGGATTTCAGTTTTTTTTTTTGACGAGGAAATTCGTATATAGAAATTTTTTTAATCATTTTTATTTTTTGTAAAAGTTTCGAGAAATTTCTATTGAACTGCAGTATTCGTAATCATCGTAATCCGAAGTAACCACCGAGTTACATTGGAGTAGACGTACTCACCGCAGAAGCCAGATCCATTTACCCCCGATTTCTAACGCGTCTCGGTTAACCCGTGGTTTTCCTCATTTCTCTGTGGAATTTCGCAATTTTATACTCGGTCGTTATGTAAAATATACCATGGAATAGTAGCATAGATGCATAAAGGAAAATTTATATATTTTTTTATTTTTCTATTTTTTATATCCTCTAATTTCACAAGGAAAAATTAAAGAAAAATCACTTTGAATTCTAATAAATATTCTTGATTTTCTATAAAAATCTATAGTCTAAAAAATTTTTTTCTTTTTTATTTTGAAATCAAACCAAAATTCCATATTTCATTTATTCATTTTTACCTTCCATTTCTTTCGAAGAATATTTCTTCTAATTTCGAAGAAAAATAAAACATTATTTCGAACTTTCAAATAAACAAATTTAAGTATTAATCCAACATTGAAGAAAAATTAAAGAAAATTATTATAATATTGAGATTTAACAAATATTCCTGATTAGAAATTCTTTTTTTCTTTATTTTCGGACCAAAGTACCATTTTCCATCTATTTTTTAATCATTTTTATCTTTCATTTCATACGATGTCGAAGAAGAATAAAATATTTACATAACGTACGTAACATAAGACGAAGTATTTCGAATATTTCTCGAATGGAGGCCTTAAATCGCGCAGAACGCTGTTCGATCGTGGATCAAACCGTTACAGCTAGGACGTGGAGAAACGGTACCGTGGAGTAGGTCCGGCTACCGTGGTTGGCTAATGAAATTCGCGCATCTAATGGAATTCAGAAATTTGATTACCGTTGCCAGCGATGACGCGTCCTGAATGGAGTTACACCTTGGCCTTGGAGGACAACGAGCGAGGACAATATGATTCCGGTGGAATGTAAGAAAAGAGACGAAACCTTGAAAACCTCGAGGGAACTTGAGGGAAAAGTGACTCGTCGGAATGTTGAAATAAGAAAACCAAGTGTTCGTTGATTTTGCCTGAAAACGCGCAGAGAAAGTTCTTTGTTTCTTTCTTTTTTTTTTTTTTTTTTTTTTTTT